CTTATAGCAAAGAAAAACAAAATGTAAAATGTAACTTTCATTTTTTTGGGTTTAAGTGTACAGTTGCCATGGTATCGGCCGCCATATTGAAAATAAACAGCTTTCATAAAACTAAAAAGGATTTTTTAATTTAATAATCAAATTTGATACATTGATAGATATGCTCAAGACAAAATTTTATACAATTGGGATCTTGGATATCTTGAATAGGAAAAAAGTTAGAGATGAACAACTGACCTACCCCCTCATGCCTCTGAAGTCGATTACATATATTTGCTGGAACGTTGTAGCCCTCTCAGCCCATTTTGGCCCCGGCCGGCAGGGGTAAAATACTCGCCTTCTAAATGATCTAAACATGGTCGATCGAAGTGAAAAAACACTTGCGTTAATTTTGTTGTAGCTGTTGTTGTTGTTGTTGCTGCTGCTGCTGTTGTTGTTGTTGTTATAAAAGATTGTTAAAGCAAACATTTGGAGGCTCACCTTGCCGAAGACAATACGCGACACGCCGGAGGTGATGGCAAGACACATGACCAGGATGTTTCCGTCATCGTCAGGGAATTCGTCCTGCACATGTTTCACCTGGTTAGGGAAGAGCGAGAGAGAGGGAGAGAGAGAGGGGGGGGGGGTAGTTTAATAGTTACATAAGTATCGAAGATTAGAGGTATTACTAAAGAGTAGCATTCAAAGAAAAGAAGGAGAGATGAGGACAATTAATATTAGATAGGAAAGGTCGGCTGCATCTACTCCGCCTGTAAGGTCCATGTCAGGCTGGACAGGGAGGAGCATACCAGCAGAAAGACCGAAATGTACAAACAACAGAAGAAATGTAAATACATGTACAGGTAAGTAGGACCTACCAGCGGCGCCATCCAATCACCTACGCCACAATTGGGCCAACAGAGGGATTGGGAATGGGATGTAGGGACAGAATGGGTGGGGAAAGGGGTGGAGGGACAGCTCAATTAGAGCAAAGAGAATATCAACAGGATGACAGTCATGTGAAGAAGGCAAAAAAGCTTGATACGTCGAAACAGCAGAGCGAAAAAAAACAAAAGAAGGTTGTACAAGTGGCGCCATCCAACCAATTGTTAGGTGTGTTTTTTCTTTTCTTTTCTTTAAGAAAACGTGTGAGTGCAAGTGTGTGTGTGTGTGTGTGTGTGTGTGTGTGTGTGTG